AGCTGTCACTATCAATTAAAAAAAGGCAATAAAAGCCCCCAACAAATACCTTAAAAAAAATGAACTCACAATTACTCCAAGATGCTTTGGATTAAAACATACATTATTACAGGGTAATTCTCTTTCGTGAGAATGTGGGTCCTATTTTGGTAGTTTTAGTAATGATTTTCATTGGTAATATTGTATATACCAAGTAAATTGCCAAGATCAGGGAACATCGCTGCATCACTTAAGAGATATCAGATAGGGTAAACAAACAAACAACAAGAGCAGTCAGATAATCAGACAGAGAAAGTTAAAACAAATGAAAATGGTGAAATAATTAGAGAAACTGCCCTCTGTAACCATCCATCACAGTTCACAGCCCAATTTCATCCTTTAACACTGATTTGCTGTAGTTGTGCTAACATTTTGGGTGTAATCACTTTGCAAATAAAGTGTAAGGGGTAAACAGGAATGTACTGTGCTTCACTTTCCCATGAAAGTTGCCACATTTGAAGTGCAACAAAACCAGCCCAACTCTTACAGTAGCTGGCCAGTTTTCTGTGTTGCTCTTTCCCTTTTGCTCATATCATTTGTATTGTTTTTCAGTTTATTTTTAATATTTGCCATGCTGAAAGCCAAATTTCCCATTATGTCTTGAAATTTAACTGTTTTCTTTTTACTTTTGAGGATGAAGAATGAAATGAAATCCCGTATACTGGTATTGTCTTACCATCTCCGAGTCATCTGAAATCAACGACCCATCACCAGCTTACCACCATGAATGCCTCAGCCAACAACACCCCACTCTGCTACTCCCTCAGGAGTCCTCCATTCACGTATCTCCCCAACATTGCCTCGGCATACTACTCATCCATCTTTGGCACTTTGGGTCTCATCTCCAATCTCATCGCCTTCATAGTTCTCATCAAGTCCTTCCAGCGAACACAAAGCCGCTCACGCTCCTTTTTCCTGATCTTCCTGGGTGGCCTGGTAGTCACTGACTTCATGGGTCTTCTGGTCACTGGCTCCATCGTGATCTCCTTCCATGTTACGCACTTTAATTGGCGCAAGTTAGATCCGAACTGCCACTTTTGCAACTTCATGGGCATGTCCATGGTCTTCTATGGACTGTGCCCACTGCTGCTTGGTGCTGCCATGGCTGTGGAGCGCTTCACTGGTATCAACCGTCCATTTGCACGCTCCACCAGCATGCCCAAGAGCAGGACAGTCTCCATGGTGCTGATGGTGTGGCTGATCGCCGGCTCCATAGCAATGCTTCCCATAGCAGGCATTGGCAGCTACCACATGCAGATACCCGGCTCCTGGTGTTTTTTAAACATCAGCTCTGAGGGAAATGACATGGCATTCTCCTTGCTCTTCTCTTTGGTTGGGCTGATATCCATTGCTGTGTCATTTTTGCTGAACACAGTCAGCGTTGTGACCCTGATCAAGGTGTGCTGTGGACAGAACAGGCACCAGCGCCGCAGAGATCATGAAGTGGAGATGATGGTTCAGCTCATCCTCATCATGGTCATTGCTTCTATCTGCTGGTGCCCCCTCTTGGTGAGTTTGCCCATTCGAAAAATAAATAATATGTCTATAGATCTGGTTTTATGGAAAAAGGATAAAGAGACAATAAAAAACAAACTTCTGTTTAGGCAGTGCACTGTGAGAGTAACATAACAGTGTCGAAATCGGAAGTCCTGGTTCAGTGAGTTGCATTCGTCAGAGATCACACTGAAATAACCTTTGCAGTATGTAGCAACACGACTCATTCAATTCATAAAAGTTTGAACTTCTGCCTAAAAGGCTGCAGAGGAAGCACTTTGGTTAATTCAAGCAACAAGCCAGTTTTCTGATTTGTTATTTCTTTAACCCAGTCAATTTACAATTGTAACCAACATCTACATTTAATTTGGGTAAATATCTGTCTAGACGATTAGGTTTTAGACGATACTTAGTGTATCTATATTAAAACATTTTAGTTAGCTCCCCGGTACCTCAACTGGTAGAGCGTGTCCCACATATAGCAGTGGGTTTGAATCCAGCCTTCTGCACCTTCCATGTAGGCTGCATTAATACTTTAATTTTTACAAAAAACAAATGTGTGTGGACTATATTTGTCTGAGGACCCCTTAACCAACCAACACAAAGTTACAGAATAAATCAAGCACTGAGCTTACTATTAAGCTTCTATGGTCCAGTACTCTACAGGAAGGACTCTAGCCTGTAGAAAATATTAATGAAAGTCACCTACGATGGTTGTTGACTGGAAGTTAAACATTTTGGAAGTAAAAAATGCATCAAATATATCACATATAATATATAATATATGATACTGAAAAGCACTCAGTATGGCTTTCCAGTAAATTATGGGTTTCTCAGGTATCTTAAAGCACCCAACCCAGACCCTGTCTATCCAGCTCGTTATCTGTGTTGCCCCTCAACTGTTTGAACCATAATAAGGCATCCCAAGGTCCTAAGCTGCTTTTCTCTGCTTCCCCTCTATATGCTTCATTTCTCCCTTGCAATGCAGCTTCCTGAGTAGTGGATATAAAAGCTTTATGGTCTTACCCTGGATCAGAGAGCCCCTTAACGCCTTAGCAGTTGTGATACATCTCAGCCAAATAAGCATGAAATCTTTGCCTTTAAAGGAGATTTCCAGGTTACAACTTGGAATTTACTTTTGTAGGTCAAAACAATTGGTTCTGCCAGTTATAACATTGCCCTCACCATGTAAAACATCAAAACAAACAGTCATACATGTTGAAAACTAACCCCTAGGTTAGCCAATTTTATTCGGAAAGAAAATTACGCAAAAGATAATTGTAGAAGCAACATGAAGAATTTACTCCAATCTTCTTAATCATCACCCGTTTTTTTGTCCATCCTTCCAAAAAACTGATTGAGGGGGAAGGAAAGCTTTGATACCTTTATGGAAGTCTTTGTTTTTGTTAATATAAACAACACTGTCCTTTCTGATACTACCACTAGGAGTTGCCAATGTCAGAACTTAAATTCTAAATGTAGGGAAATTTAACTCATGAGAGTAAGGAATAGAAGGGAAAGCTACCTGACAACATATTTTTCTGTAGTTCTGTCTAACCTCAGTTGTGTAACACCCTGCACAGATATATATTCTGATCAGCGTGGTGACTGTGGATCCTGTAAACGATGAAATTGTTTTGTTCTACATACGAATGGCCACCTGCAATCAGATATTTGACCCATGGATATACATCATGTTTCAAGTGTCCCGAATAAGGCGAGTAAAACGTAAAACAAAAAAAACATTTAAAGTTTATAACAATAACACAGCATCCCATAGCAACTGCTCACTCCCGTCATAACCTCTGCATGTCCTAAACTTCTCCAATGAAACCCTCGGATGGACTCATCACATCATAGTTTACTCCATGCTTTGCAGCTTACCATTACCCATAAGCTCAAAGTATGATTTAGAGCATGCTTCATAGTGTAGCCACTGTTCCATCTTGGTTTTGCTGCTGCTATGTGAACTTCATTCCAGTTCACTTTATTAGTGTCAGCCCATTATGATGTTTGTTTATAGACCTTGTGTCTGCTTTCATTTCTTGAAATGAACACAGATGGTTTGCGTTACCTTAAACCTGATAGCTTAATGCACATTGTAGTTTTATTAGTTACTCAAATATTTCTTCGAAGCAGAGCTGCAGAAATCCTTACAGATAATATATACACACTGAGAAAGTTGTTTGTGCTCATTGATTATAATGCTGCTAAAAAATGTAACCCAGCTACAGTGACTTATTCACCTATCAAGCCTATTTGGCACTGGAGCTTGAAATTAACCATGAATGCTACCTTCGGTGAAAGCAGAGGTTAGCCACCAAGAAATGTGTGATGTACCAGTCTTTGGAGTATCTCTGCCTCTTAGAAAAGTTTGTCTAACAAAAACTGTGGTTTGCACTTGATCATCTCAACACATGCATGCAACATTATGAAGTGGATTTAGGTAGCTGTTTTCCTTGCACTTACAGTTTTATTTTATACCAGTTGGACCAGAATGAGCCAATTTGTCATTCCTAAAGGACCTTGTTAGCATGTTTTGCCTTCACAAGAGAATGTTGGGCTAATGCTAATAAGGCTATGTCTCACAAAAAATGTTGCAGCTTAACTAAAGCAGGGGGATAATTGTGTTGCAGCAGTCATTGCCTTTGGAGGGCCATGGCAAAATTAGCCCAGCCATTCCTTCAGTGCTCTCATCATAATGTGTCTGTGTGCATTTGCAATATTAACCAATTTGATCTGTTCTTCATTTCTAATCCTGTCCTTCTCATTCTTTTCAACTATAATTTGCTTTTTTCCTCCCCTGCAACTGTTTGATTTCCTCTCTTTAAACCTCCCATCTCATCCATCTCCCTACCACTCCTTTCCTCCATCATTTCCTTCCTCTCTTTGCCATCTGTCATTGTCTTTATCCCCACTTCCACCCTCTATCACCAGGTCTTTATTGCACAAACTGTGCTGTCCGGAAGTCAAGTCCAGGTCAAATACCTACTGCTATGGATACGCTTCGCCACCTGGAACCAAATCCTGGATCCGTGGGTATACATCCTGTTTCGCAGATCAGTTCTTCAGAGAATCTACCCCCGTCTCAACTGGTCTCGGGGCTCCATCATGACCTTGTATCCATCTTTCAGCGACACCGTCCGCAGGTTCACACGCTCTTCTCTTGGGAGCACCCTGGGCTCAGATGAAACAGGAGAGACTGGGAAATCTAATGTACCGGCCATATCTACATCAAACTCACCACCTCCTTCTCCATGATTGGTTGGATTTGAGTTGTTGTTGCAGTAGACATCATTGAGGTTACAGTATGTGTTTGAAAGTGTTTTCAAGCTCTAATGAGTTTTTAGGGTAAGCAAGATTGCACCAATAAATTGAAAAGATTGAATCTTGTTATTTCATTGCGTACCACTAAAATATTTAGCAGTATTAATAGCAATGACACTTTAATTTAGAACAA